TGTGAAGCCACTGGGTTCAGGACTCAAACTGTGGTCAGCCATGTGGAAGTCCAGTGACGTAACCATTACGCCATTATGCCATCTGCTGGTCCCTAAAAAGAGAATTTATTGGCTCATATTAATGGAAAGAATATTGGGATAACTCACAAGTGATGAGTGAATGAAAGCTACATTTTTGTACACATACATATATATACATATATATATATATATAGAGAGAGAGAGAGAAGGAGAGAGAGAGAGAGATTTTTGCTGTAGGTTGTGTGCGCTCACCAGAAAGGCAGAGAGAGACAGAAAGACAGAAAGCGAGAAATCACCCCCTAGGAAGATGGCCACACCGCAATCCCTTCTCCATTCTCCTCTTGGGATCTTGGACACGCATGCACATGCGTCTGGAGTGAATTTAAGCCACTGGGTCTGGGACTTGAACCACAGTTGACTACATGGGAGCCCAGTGACATAACCATTACTCAACTGCTGGTCCCAATTCATTTATATTTTTAAATACTTTCTCTACTTTGGTCACATGGTAGTCAAAGATATAGATAGAAATCCCTTGCTTTCTCAAAGCTTAAACTAACTTGGGTTTAGACTAGTGGTTCTCAACTGCTGGTGATTTTGCCTCCACTGCTACACACCACTCAGGAGCAATTTTTTACGTCTGAAAACAGTTTTCATTATCACTGTTGGTTCTAGTCACACTGGTAAGGACAACAAGAGCTACAGCAAACATCATATAACTCACAGGAAAACCACCATAACACAGAATTATTCTGCCCCAAATGTTAATGGTCCCTGAATAGAAAACTTTGTGTTAGACAACGAACAATAACAGATAATACATATTATGTATTTATAATATATAAACATATGTTACTTACATAGACAAAGTTCATTCATGCTATAATGTAAATGATGCAGGGTAGAGAGAGGGTAAGAGTGACTTTCAGAGAGGGTTATCAAATAAAACTTCTCTGTTAAGGAGGCATTAGGGCAGAGATATGAATGAAATAGGAGAGAGTCCTGAGGCAGTCTTAAAGCAGACTATATCATGTGAAAGAAACAATAAATACCAAGGTCATATGTAAGGAATAGATCTGACACACTTGGGAAATAGGACACAGCCCTTAATGGTTGGAGGAGAGGGAATGTGGGGAACTGTATAGAGGTGAAGTCAAATATGGAACTAGTATAAGATGACAAAAGACATAATCAACTGTGGTAAGGCTTTTACTTGTTTGTTTGTTTGTTTTTCAATTTGCTACAGGGCACTTATATTGACCGGAGAGGTGTGTGTGTATGTATGTGAAAAAGCTCCCTCCAGGGGGAATGACCATGCTGCAATCCCTTTTCCTTCATTCTCCTTTTGGGATTTTGGGCACAGACACATATGTGCCCAGGCTGTCTGGGACTCAAATCAAGCAGTTGGCCATGTGCGATCTAGCTGTTTTAACCACCATATTACCTACCACCTGGCTCAGTGTTTTGTTTTTTTTTTTTTGTCTGTTTGTTTTTGTTTTGTTCTTTTGTTTTTGAGAGACTTTTGCTATAGGGCATGTGCACATGCCAGAGATACAGAGACTGAGAGAGACAATCAGGAATCACCTCCTGGGGGGATGGCAACCCTACAATCCCTTCCCATCCATTCTCCTTTCAGGACTTTGGGCATGCACACACATGTGCCCAGTGTAAATTCTAAGCTGCTGGGTCTAAGACTCGAACCATGATCAGCCATGTGGGAGTCTATCGCCTTAACCACTATAACACCTGCTGGTCCCTAGCTCAGGATTTTAACTTCTATTTTGAGGAAGATGGAAAATCATTGAAAAGTGTTGAATAGAGACATAACATGACCTGATTCAATTTTTAAAAAAGATCACTCAGTCTGCTATATGAAGAAAAGAATACAGAGAATGACAAAAACAGAGAGAAGTTTGATCACTGCAATAGTCCAAAAAGAGAAGATGATGTCTTATACCTCAATAGTAGAATGGTAAAACGTGATTTGATTCTCAATTTATTTATTTATTTAAGCTTCCTAGAAGGTGCATGCACTCATTGGAGAAAGAGAAAAAGAGCAAGAAAGTGAGAGATCAACTCCCCTCCCCCCCACCTGGGAATTTCACACTGCTATCCTCTCTTTTAGTCTCCTCTTGGGACTTTAGGTATGTGTGCACACATACATGACCCTGCATAATTTTTCAAGTGGCCAGGTCTGGGACTCGAACTACACAGCCAACTATGTGGGATCCAGCCACCTTAATTAACATCCATGTCGTCTGCTGGTCCCCGATTCTGACAATATTTTAAGGTAAAAAATAAAATTTGCTAGTGGCTAGAATGTGCGTATGAGGGAAAAAAGGAATCAACTCTTTCAGAGGTTTTGGATTGAGCATCTAAAAAGATGAAATGATCATTTCCTAAAATGCAAAGACTGAGGAAGAGTGAGGACATAAAGATCTCGGAAAGTCCAACTGAGTCAAAGAATCGTCAGTTGGATAAACAGCACTGGAGTTCAGGAAAGAGTTTACTGTTGGTGATAGACATTTTGAAATATCAACTCTATAGATGGGACCAATTTGAGCTCACCCAGGAAGTGAGTGTAGATAAATGGAAGAAAAGTCTGAGCCCTAGAACTGTCCAACATTTGGAGACGTCAGAAAAATAAAAACACGGACTGGCAGGTGGTGGTTTAGGTGCTGGACTCACACATGGCTGGCTGTGGTTCAAGTCCTGGGTCTAGCCGCTTGCTTTCTCACTCCATTTCTCTCTGTCTCTCTCTCTGGTGAAGAAGAAAAAGAAGAAATAAGAAGGAGGAGGAGGAGAAGGAGGAGGAAGAAGTTAAATAAATAATTCTTTAAAAAAGAAAAAGGAAAAGAAAAAGACCGGAAAAGGGACCAGATAGTTTCACTGAATAAGATAAGTAGAAAACTTAATAAGGAAAGTATAGAGACCAAGAAAATTGTTCAAAAGAGAAGCAAGTCAAGTGCTTTTTGTTGATTGCTTTTAATTATCTTGTCAAGATAATAATAACTGGGGACCTGCAGATGGCACGATGGTATCACTGGATCCTCACATAGTTGACTGTGGTTTAAATCCTGGACCCGCCAGACTGAAACTCACACTGGGCACGTATGAATGCATGCCCAAAATCCGAAGAGGAGAATGGAAGAGAAGGGATTGTGGCATGGCAATCCCCCATAGGAAGTGATTTCTCAATGTTTGTTTCTCTGCTTTTCTCTCTCTCTGGCAAGCATCCACGCCCTATAGCAAAAATCTCTCTCTCTTAAAAAGAAAAATACATATATTGATGACTGAGAATTCACTCTAGAGACTCACAACATGGAAATGGCTGATGACCAACATAAGTACAGTGTCAGGGAAGATCCAGAAACAGAAGCCTGAATGGAGATAAGTAGTTCAAAGAAGATAATATGTTGCTTATGCAGCAGTATCTGATGAAATTGTTAAGAATTAGAAAGGAGTAGGGCCGGCAGATGGCGTGGTAGTTTAAGGCACTGCATTCCCACATGGCTGATGGTGGTTCAAGTCCCAGACCTGGAGACTTGCTTTCCTTCTCTCTCTCTCTCTCTCTCTCTCTCTCTCTTTCACTCTGTCCCTCTCTGGTAAAATTAAAAATAAAGTTAAATAAAATAATTCTTTAAAAAAAGAATTAAAAAGGAAAAAAATGATATTCACAAAATTTAAATAATAGTTATTTTTTTCTCTTGACAAGGCAATGAAATGGGATAAAAAGGAACAGGTAAAATAGAATTGATATTATAATCCTTAAATTGGATGAATAGGCTTTACTACATAAAATATATTACTCTTATGAACTAAAGACAACTGAAACTTAAAAAGAAGAAAGGGGTGCATATAATTGTAGTCAGCGGTCTTTTTTTTTTTTTGTCAAAAGCAATTTGTTTATTTACGAAACCGCAAGTCAATTAAGATCAAGCAGAGGGCCCCCTCTTCTATAATATTTATACTGACTTGAATATTGTCACCTTAAAAAAAAAACTCACAAGGGCAAAATGGCAAATTACCATTTTCTCTACAAAATAAATGTATCTATACAGATGTAGAAATAATTCCAAGTTTCAAATTCTCAACGTGAAATCAAGTAGAGAAAGACACAGAAATGGTAATTTTCTTTCACTGTAAGTAAATGACATCTAAGTATAGTAAACAGGTGGTAATTTAAATGCACAACCAGTAAATCACTGAAAATACAACGGCATTCATTCATGTACCATAAAATTATGTAAGGTTTGAGGACATGCTCAAGTCACTAAAATGGCCAAAACCAACATTTTACTAGTTCATTTTATCCCAAACTGTTATCACGTGAGTTTGGTATGTTAACAAACCTAACTGTCCACATTATGTTAAACATCAAGCACCTGTTTGCAGTGGAAACCAAGACATTTTAAGCTAAAAATATGCAATATTTAGACACTATTTTATTGGTTGCCAAATTAATTAATTTAAAACACTGTGTCAGGTCATCTCAGGGAATGTGAACAATAACACTGGAGATCCCACTATTACTGTTATCTTACAACTTTACAGGAATTCAAATCCCGAAGACAGAAATTTATGACTGTTAATACTACCTTTGGATAGTTTTGATACAGTATATAATTAGGGATGGCTTTGTTTAGAAGGCTGGAAAAGTGCTCACAGAATAAACACTACTCGGACTGCCAGAAATCAACAAAATGCAACTGTGTCTGGTGGACATGGTAGAGAAAATGGCAATTCTGAGAAAGGAGTGCTTTTAAAGGCATTTCCTTGTAGGCAGCCAAGGATTTTTTTTCACATTACTGAAAGACCACATCATGCTGTGGCTGCTTTAGTTCCTGCAACCGGACTGTCGCATAGGCATAGGTCAGTGTTTCCCAGCTAGTTTCCTCCTGTCCGCCCTGCCGGCTTCGACATTCCATGGTCCAGTGTGATCCTTTAGTCTTCCTGCTCTGCCATCCGGCAGCGGCCTGCTACCCACTGAGCAGGTAGACCACCAGCTCATAGGTGGCCATCATGATGGCTGTGTTTGGAATCTGCCTCACCAGGTGAGTTGTTAGACCACGGTAGAGAGACCCGTAACCTTCTTCTTGAACCACCAAAGACAGTGTCTGGAAAAAAGATCTATATTTTGTTCCCTCTTCACGTAGTCTTGTTCTTAAAACTTCATGCGGATATACTATCGTAGTGGCACAAGTCTTTGAGGTGGCAGCAGCTAGCATCATGCCCAAGAAATCTGATGCTTCTTTAACAGACTCTTCATCATTTTCCATCAGAGAAGCAGTCTTATATTCCAGTAGTTTTTGCTTTATACTTTCATAAATAACAAAATGGATAACAGTCTCAGATATGCCGGCATAAGAGGCGGACATGCCCCTATAAAAGCCTCTAGGTCCATCTGCCTGGAACACTCTGCGGACACATTCCCCAGCAGCCATTTGCTTTTCCCCACGGTTCCTTGCATCAAGTTGTAACCGAGTCTTTGTAAACCAAATGGGGTTGGTGGCTGTGACTACAGTAAAACCTTTCAGTTTTTGGATTATTTTGTACTTAATTTCTTGTGTTCTGCCATTGCAGCTGAAATCATGTGTACCTGGGTAGAATCGGGATCAAATACACCATTCAGCTTTTCCTTGCAGTTTGAATAAGCAGCAAAGTATATTGCTCTGGAAGGGGCCACCCCCACTACATTGGGGCCTAATCCTCTAAACAAGGAACGAACGAGGCCCTTCTTTTTCCAAGATCATTTTCAGGCAATGGAGAGGTCCAGGAGACACTATTCTGTTGACACTGGCTCCTGCCATGGTGTTCAGCTGAACTTCAGAGATATACAGAGTCACGGAGGATGACTGCAGCCATGTCTTCACAACTTCCAGTGGGCATGTCAGAATAGCTCCTACTGTACCGCCACATCCCCCGGCAAACAGATGCACCAGCGTGTCCCTCTGGCTCATTCTCCCTCCCACATGTCCTCCAGGCGCTGAGGCGGGGCGCGGGGTCGGCCGCCCGCGAGGGCTCCGCTGCGGTCCGGGCTGGAGACGCACAGCACCCCGGGGACAGGGACAGCGAGGAGAGCCTGCAGAGACGTGGCCTTGGGCAGCACGGGCGCAGCTCTCCCCGCAGCACTCCTGCAGCGCTGTCCCGCGCCCTCCCCACCCCACCCCCCCAAGTCAGCGGTCTTTTGAAGAGTTCATGGAGAAATAAGTTAACGGTTGGAAGTGCTGTAAAATTGTGGGTTTTTGCCTAGTTTTAAGATGAAAAATATGAGTGGGTCTTCAAAAAGTTCGTGGAGGGGCCGGCAGGTGGTGTAGTGGTTCAGGGCTGACTCCCACATGGGTGATCACAGGCTAAGAATGGGACCTGGCAACTGGGAAATCATGCCAGGTACATAGGCATGCATGCCTCAAATCCCAGGAAGAAAATGCAGGAGAAAGGATTGTAGCGTGGTCACCCCATGGGAGGTAATTTCTAACTTTCTCTCTCTTTCTTTGCCTGTCTGTCTCTGTTGAAAGCACATGCACCCTATGGCAAAAATAAATAAATAAATAAATAAATAAATAAATAAATAAATAAAGTTCATGGAAAATGAGTGTTATGAAAAGAACTGTATATGGGTTTTTTTTTACATCAAAAATAAATTTTTACTTTAATTCTATTTTTCTATGAACTTTTTGAAGTGCCCTCATCCTATGCTGTTGGGAGCATCTCTGCTGCTGGAAATGCTGTGGAGGAGGGAGGCGAGGTGAGGATGGAATAGTGAAGCAGGGCTCAGAGAGTTGGAGGCATCAGGGCTTTGGACATTGGAATCCTGATTCTATGTTATTATGACTCTTACTGAAGGCTCACTACAGGGGCATGGTCATATTGCAATGCTCTGTGATGTTGAAACCACATGGGTAGATCCCAGGTTGAATCCCAAGGTCTCCCTGCGTACCAGATGCACCCCATGATCCTGGCTGAGGATGGGTGGCAGCGTGAAGATGCTTGAGGAATTGTCTGTCTCTCTCTTTGTATTTTTCTCCATCTCCTTCTCTGATGGAAAACATCAATAAGATCAACTTAAGACAAATAATAAAAAGATACATTGCCCATCTTTCACCTCTGTTTTTCTCTGTGGGTGCTCTGCTGGAGTGGAAAACTTGCTCCAGAATGGTAACTATCAGTCACAGGTTTGCAGCTTCTCAATTCAATAAACTCCATATCAACAGAAAAAAAAATAAAATAAAAAAATCCTTCTCCACGTCTGTGTACCAATTCCAGAAGTAATTTCAAGTGGTCCTGTTTGAATAATACTGAAAGACCAAACTCAAGTTGTGTGTCTCCACCTGGGACTTGGCAATGACATCTATTAGCATAAGATATCAGGTATCAGGCAGTCAAATATAATACATTAACCTGTCCTCTATAATCGTGAATGATTTATAAAGCCAGATAAACCTCACTATTTATAAAAATAATATATTTAATGACAAATACAGCTGAAAATGTGAGAAAAGAGTCAGTATTTTTTTTCTTTATGGTACCTGGCATCTCCTACCTTTCAAAATACGTATTCTCTCTGGTTGGGTTTGGTTTAGTTCCTCACTAAGGAAATTCTTTTTCCATTGGAAACTTTTGTTAATTTAAGAATATGTCACCTATGAGAGTAAACTTTTCAAAGAACCATGGGCAAGTAAGAAAAATAGTTTGAAATCTGAATATTGGACAAGAAGGCAAAGGTGCTTTGAGAGAGTCCAGAGCATTATTTAGGGCTAAGTAAAGAGAAACAAAGTAATATAAATGGGTATGTGTGATGGGCTTGCAGAAAAATCCTTATTGAGAAAGGAAAAGATATATGTATTCACCTACATATGTGCTGGTCATGCCACTCTCCCTTCTCCTCAATTCTCCTCCTGGGATTTTGGACACACACACACATACACCCAGCATGACTTCTAAGCTGCCAGGTTCAGGACACGAACTGTAGTCAGCTATGCGGGACTCCAGCACCTTAACCACTATGCCATATCCTGGCCCCATGCAGCATGATTCTTTACTTGAGATTTTAAATGCAATTTGAAATCCTATTAATGATTGGCACAAGAGCAAAAAAGATTTTGCTTTTGAAGCAGTTCAGATCTAAGCATCTTAGAAAGTTCTCTGAGAGTCAAATGGTATCCTTTATCTCAGACTGCAGACCAACCTGGTTTAAAATGAATAGATTTATGAAGTTGGCACAGGAAATGTGACTGAACTTCTTCTGAAAGCCTTTCCTTCAGGGCTTAAGAGTTCATTCCCAAATGCTAGATGGGTCTTGTTTTAATTATTTGGGTGGTTTCAAGAACACCCACAATGGCCACTTCCCATCTCGGCAACCTGCCAGGTTTGCAGTAGCTAAAGACTGCTTAGAGATACATTCTAGCACCTCTTTTTTTTCCCACCTCTCTCTCCTATCACCACTCTTTATCCCTGCTGTCCCTGGTTTTTTTTTTGTTTGTTTGTTTTTTTCCCTTTTCGTCTTTCCCCCAATGCACTTTCTCCATTAGCTTGTCCTCACTAACACACTTCGTCTTGTCAAAACTTTAGGAAGTGGCAACTTATGACAAGGGGTAGTAAATAGTGTGATTGGAAACATGCCTACAGCAACTGAAAGGAGAAAGGGGAACCCAGCCACCCACGGAAATAGAAATGATTTTTTTTGCTGAACTAAAACTCTAACTAAGTTTGGCCTGCAAAAGAACATGGTATTCTCCACATATCATAATTTTGAATTGCAAATAGAAGTCACTAGGTTTATTCTAAGATTTATGGCTAGGACAAATAATCTTAAGGGGATAAACAGAAAATGGATCCAAGTGAAAGATGAAACAGCCAAGTGCTGCATGGGTTCCTGAAAGGTTTTGCAGCCTGATACACAGTCTAGGTAGGCTCTGAAAATGAGTTGATGGCCCTGCAGCTTGCCTTGTAAACAACTATCACAGAACTCTTCCCTCAGCCCTTCATATGGTTCTCCCTGTGAACACCTCCATTACATGTCATAAGCTTTAAGCTAATGTATCTTGTTTCTCTCCTTTGCAAAATGCTTCTGTTTGTTTTTTCAATAACACTGCTTTTGTAATCACACCAGACGATAAGATATTGGGTGAGGGGGAAGAGACACAAAATGAGAAAGAGAAAGGTCACAAATTTTAAGCCATGTGGGTTTTTTTTATTGTTATTTTTGAAGTGTGTTTTGCACAGAGACAAATTGTACATTTACCACAGTCACCAGGACCTAACGAGCTCCTAATGTGTCCCATACTTCAAGGTTTTTCAGCACAGGCCAGTAACTTAGCAACCACAGCTAAACCTTGACAGGAATAATCATTATTTGTGTTGCAGCTTCAGGCAATCCCCACCAAAGGTGTTTTTTTTTTTTTTTTCCTTTTTTTTTTTTTTTTTTTAAAAAAATAATTTTAAAAAAAAAGAAAAAAAAAAAAAAAAAGGACCTCAGGACAAGGAAGAACAGCCTGGGAAGGGAGACTATTCTTCCTATTATGTTAGGTCATAAATGGCATGACTGGAGTACAGGCCTGGAGTTAAAGAGTTACTTCCCTCGGAGACACTAAAGAAAGTAATGCACACAGTCTAGATGCGGTCACTTCAGGTGAATGCCAAAATATGTTTGACAGCTTCTCAAAACCAATTGATTTTTGCATTTATAAATTTTGCCTTTGTGGTCCTGGCAATTCACAAGTAGACATAACATTATTTGATGTATGAAATGTTTTAAGTCCCTGAGGTACAAATTTATTATGTAAACTGACCCACGTCAGCAAGTTGCACAGTACTGAGACAACCTAGCTGACTTCCAGTCATCTGTATGGACTTTACTTCAGTTGTTTCCTATTGAGGTATCCGAAAGAAAAAAAAATCGCTTCATAAATAATTTCTTTTCCCACTTTAAGAAAATAAAACTAACCAAAACTGAAGATGATGTTTAGAAAGATGAAAATATCTTAAGTGTTATATCCAACTAGAAAATGAAATTTTTATTAGATAAACCATACTGAGTAAAGAGATTTGTAAAGAAATTTGCAGATATCATAAAGAATTTTGCAGATATTACTCATAAATTTGAAGAATCTATCAGAGTATCTGTGGTTCCTGAAGAATGGAAGAAGTTAAGTCATTGGCAAGAAATCGATCATTACAGAGACTATAATAATGGTCAGGTTTACTAAGCAGACCTGTTTCTGATTCCACTGGTTGATCCATGGCCCACACAGCCTTGTAAATAAATGTCTCAAAACAGGGGCCAGCAGTTGGCATAATGGTTATGTCACTGGACTCTCATGAAGTCAACAGCTGTTCAAGTCCTGGATCCGGTGGCTTAAACTCACGCCAGGCATCTGTGTGTGCGTGCCCAAGATCCCAAGAGAATAGAAGAGAAGGGATTGTGGTGTGGCCATACTCCCGGGGTGTGTGGGGGGGTGATTTCTCACTTTCTGTCTCCTTGTCTTTCTCTGGTGAGCGCACACGTCCTATAGCAAACACCTCTCAAAAAATAAAATAAAATAAATACATGTCTCAAAACAAGAGAAAATGTGCTATGATCTCAAGTCTTTTCATTGAATTTTGTCCCGTCAAGAAATCAAATGGAACATTTCAAAGTTTACATCTGTTTTGAAAAGGTAAATAATATAATGTCATGAGGATTCAGAATGATTGAACTCCGGACCTCATTTTGTTATTAACTAGACATATGACCAGGTGTAATGGTTAATCACCCAAGATTTAGGAACCTCCTTTAAATTGTTGTAGGACTAGATACTCCCCTTAGTCTTAATACTTAATGATCTCAGAAAGGCAGAGTGAAAGGGCAAGATAATGCATAACACAGCGAATAGGTCTGAATGCACCTCACTAAGATGAATGCTAGTTATTTCTTTCCTTTTCTTTAGAAAAGAGAATCATTATAATTGTTTTCAGCACAAGCAGGTGTGCTCATGGGACCTTGTTAGTTAATGCATTTTAAATTCACCATTATAATTTAAAGAAT